TCAACAAAGCCATGAATGAAGCGGGAGTGAGAACAAGAGAACCGTTAATTTGGTGACTTGCTCAGTGAAGGATTTGGGGGTATTAACTGTACTATTTGTGCAACTTCTCTGAGAATTTGAAGTCCTTTAAAAAGAATTGGCAATAAGGCGAAATATCATGGAGACACTAGCGTCATGACTGTTGTTAGTGACTGAATTTCACGGCCTGTGAGATGAAGGCAGCAGACGTGTTTTAAGCACAGTCTCATCCCAGTTGTTAAATATTTCCAGCAGTAAATCTAGCAATGAACAATGATCCTACAAAATTCAACTCACGTTGAAGCTTTGAACGGGAAATGTGTGCTGTAATATTTTCATTGTGTCTTGAGAATAGCCACTTCTCTGACGCTGTCCTTAATAGGAACACATAAAAGTATCTAATCTAAGCTAAACAAAAAAGGCACGGTCAGGTTAGTTGGTGTCCAAGGTCCCTGCCCGTGGTAAAATCCTGGGGCTGACAACTGGATGTGGTGGCGTACGCCTGTAATCCCAGCACTCAGGAGGCTGAGGCAGGAGGATCATGGGGAGTTCCAGACCAGCCTGGGCTACCAAGTGAGCTCAAGGCCAGCCTGAACTGCATAGCGAGACCCTGCCTCAAAAAGACCCCACACACACAAACAATCCTGGGGCTGGCGATTAAGCGATGTGAGTTCAAGGTGATCTGCATCCATCGCCTTGACACACAGGGCCCGTCCCCGTGGTGTGTAAGGGGGAAGACTCAGCCCGCTGTGTCTGTGTCGTTGCAGGAAAATGCGGATGCGGCGGGAGCTGGAGCCCAAGGGCCCCAAGCCAGTTGCTCCTCCTGCTGCCGTGGACCCAAACAGCAACGGCAGCCAACAGCCTGCAGCTGTGACCTTCAACCCTGCTGACCTCCACTCGGAGACTCGGTGACCCCTGTCCCGCCGCCATCTGTGCCCCTGTCCAAAGAGCTTTCTCCAGAGTGCAGACCGGAAGCACACTTCTCTGGCAGCTTCACTATGAGTTCCTTCCGGTCAGGCCGACAGAGCATCTTTCACACAATCCCTGCTGCTTCCTTAACCTTACCCCGCCCTGGCTCACCCTGGCTGTGTCCTCGTCTCCGCTGTCACCCTGTCAGAAAGCTGTGGGACGTTATTTTACCATCAGATGAGAAAGAGCTCTGCTGGGAATCCACTCAAGTCGGTCGGGCTGTCTCCTCACAAAGGCTGGAGCTAGACAGACAGACCCGCTTGCAGACAGATGGACAGACATATAGCCCTGACTCTTTTGGTCGGGAGTCGGGGGTCAGGGGATGCTGCTAAGAGTGTTGCCCAGGCTCTGCCACTGGGCTCGTCTTAGACTCAGTGCCAGATCCACAGCTTTGCAGAGTAAACTACTCCACCCTCCACCCCGTCATCATCGGGGGCAGGGGAGCTAACTTGGACTAACCAGAAAGCCAGCTTGTTAATTTGTAACCTCTTCCACTCCGGGATAACCAGTGATTGCTCAACACAGTTCCCTTCCTTTAGGAAAAGTTACAAGAAAAGTGGACCCAAGAGATTTCTGCTAGTAAAGAATCAGTAGAAGGCACAGGGTGACCTAGAGCTTGTTGCATTGTCCGAGGCCTTGACCAATCCTGGTAGCTGGGCAGGCCCTTACGGTCTTGCTAACCCTTTACCTTCCAGGACCCATATTTGGAGATGATTACATTGCAGCTCTTAGGCTGAGGATATAACTCAGTGGCACAAGCGCCTGCCTAGCAAGCGCAAGGTCCTGAGTTCGATTCCCGGTACTAGCAGAAAAAAAATACTGTACATTGCAGCTCTTTACCTCTGCTCTTTCTGGGCACCAAGAAGAGACTCTAGACAATATCTGCAGCAGCACATTCCCAGACCATTTCTCTGTAGAGAGCTAGGCTGGAGAACAATCTCCAGATAAGGGGAAACATTTTGTAATTAAGAAGACTTGCCCTCAAGCCCTGCTCTCTGGTGTGTGGCCTTGGCAAAGTGACTCAACCTTTCCATGTTTGGTTTCCTAATAACCACGAAGTGGAAAGGGCAGTACTGGCCTCCCTGGGTTGTTCTGAGTCAAGGGCTGCACAAGCAGCTTGAATGCAGTGCCTGGTGCCCAGGAGATGCTTAGTAAATAACAGGCATTATGCAGAGACCCTGGGTTCAATCCCCACTACTAAGAAAAAAATTAAATGAAACAAAACTCCCTTGAATAGCTTTGGAGAAATACTAGGAAATTCGCCCTTCCTCCTCCTCTTCCATCTTTTCTTCCTTCTACGCTTAAATTTCCTCCAAGTACCATGCACTCTGAAAGGTATTTTTGCATCAGTTATCTTATAGGATTTAATTTTTCCAATAGCCCTGGGAGGTGTTATTTCCCACTCACAGAGGAGAATTTTCAAATCAGAAAGAATAAGTTCTTTCCCAGAGTCACACCCACAGCTGGTAAGCTGCAAAACCAGGACACAACCAGGTTTCCCCTTTACATTACTCTTCCCCGCCATCCTGTTTTTTTTTTTGTTTTGTTTTGTTTTTGTTTGTTTGTTTGTTTTTAATTCTTTTTCCTGTCAATTTTTTTTCTGTGTAGACAACTCTCTTTATTTTTTATTTTTTTTTATTTTTTGGTTTTTTGGTTTTTCTCCTGTACCGGGAACCAAACTCACAACCTTGTGCTTGCCAGGCAGGCGCTTTGCCGCTGAGCTAAATCCCCAGCCCCATCCTGGGTTTAAAAAGCACAAATTCCTTTGTAAACTGAACCAAAAAACAGCTTTGGCCGGTGTGGTGGCGCACTCCTGTAATCCCAGCACTCGGGAGGCTGAGGCAGGAGGATCATTGCAAGTTCGAGACCAGCCTGGGCTACAAAATGAGCTCAGGGCCAGCCTGAACTGCATAGCATGACCCTGTCTCAAAAAGACAAAAAGAAAAAAAAAAAAAAAAACAGCTTTGTCCATGGTTTGTGTGGAGCTCAGCAATCTGGCTTCCAAACTGAAAGTATGGGGGTGAAGCTGCTCTGGTGACATCCTTTGGGCTTCTATGATCAGGGCCAAAGGGACCATTTCTCAGCCATCCTGAGCTTGATTCCTGCCTCACCTACTGCTTAGGCCCAAGGGGAAAGGGGTGGAAACCAGGACAAATTTGTTTCTTTGAAGGCTCAACCCTCCCAACATATACGTTCCCCTAGACATTTTCTGCTTTTATCCTTTTTTCTAAAATTGTCTGGAATGTTCTAGACTTCTTTGCTCATAGTGGACTGTTCCTGGAGGCAAATAATGGAGTATTTGTATCTCATTTTTCACTAAAGAAGGCAACTCCACAAACACCCTGGCAGGGCTCTTATGTGACAGCTGAGGTGCTGCTAATCGTGTGCAGACAGGCCCCTGTGCTGCAGGAGATGATTATGGCAGGGGTTCTATAACGCAGCTGTGCATTTTGTTTCTTGGTTTGTTTTTTTTCCTGTTACTGGGAATCGAACTCACGACCTCGAGCTTGCCCAGGCAGGTGCTGTGCCTCTGAGCTAAGTCCCCAGCCCCTTATGCATTCTGTTTCTGACCAGGTGCCTTTCTTAACTGAGCAGATGCTCCCTCATTTGGCCACTGAATCAATGAAAGATATTAAACACTTACAGAAAAATGTTTAAAAATAAAAGGCTTAAATCAGACGTGTGTGGCATTGATTTCAACTATAATTTAGAGCTAATAAATACCTCTTCTTTTTTTCTTTTGAGACAGTCTTACTATACAGTTCAGGCTGGCCTTGAGCTCACTTTGTAGCCCAGGCTGGTCTCAAACTTGCCATGATCCTCCTGCCTCAGCCTCCCGAGTGCTGGGATTACAAGCATGTGCCACCACGCCCGTCTAACAAATACCTCTTCTAAATAGCTCCTTTCCCCAACAACTTAACTAGGCCCTGTGGGATACCCTGCGTCTCTGTGCACACTATTTTTGTTTGTTTGTTTGTTTGGTTTTTGGGGGGGTTTTGTACCAGGAGTCGAACTCAGGACCTTGTACTTGCCAGGCAGGCACTTATGCCACTGAGCTATATCCCCGGCCCCTGTGTTATTTCTGAAGGCTGAGGGCCAAGGTGAGATGCTGCCAGCAGACCTCTCTGTGAGTTAGAAACCTTCTCCACTTGCTCAAATATGACAAAGGGAGGCTACTTCCACAGCCTGCAGTTAATCGTGAGACGCTGAGATGTCAAGGTGTGGGGAGCTCTGGGACCATAGGAGAATGAACTTCCAATTACCAGTAATGATATTTATTATAAAGTACAAGGAAGTTCCTACCCTGCCAGGCATATGATAGGCCCTTTATACCCAAGAGCTCCTTTGATCCTTTATAACTCCCATTGGTAGGAACCATCACTGTCTCTACTTTATGAGTGAGGAAACAGGCTTACTTTATGAGTGAGGAAACAGGCTTAGGGAGGTCACTGCCCTTGGTGGTGCAGTGGACAGTTTTTGTTCTTTTGGTGACCACTTCCATGATGTTTGGGGAATCCTCTACTTCAAGAATCAAGACTGCCAGGTGTGGCACACACCTGTAATCCCAGCACTCAGGAGACTGAGGCAGAAGGATTGCTGTGAGTTCAGGGCCAGCCTGCACTACATAGTGAGACCCTCCCTCGAAAACCAAAAAGAAGCAAGATCGCCTTACGCTATAAAAACTTAAACCAAAAAAAAAAAGGCCATATACTCACCTTCTCAGACTCCCTTGCAGCTAAGATAAAGGCACATGACCTATGCTCTACTAATCACTCTTACCATGGTGGTTCAATCTAAAACCCAATGACGGGGCTGGGGATTTAGCTCAGCGGCAAAAGCGCCTGCCTGGCAAGCGCAAGGTCATGAGTTTGGTTCCCGGTACCAGAGAAAAAACAAAAAAATAAAAAATAAAAAAATAAAAAATAAAACCCAATGACGTAAAAAGACAGGTTCTGGGCAGAATATGCCATGGTGGCAGGTGTGTGGCACCTTCATTTCAAGAAGCAGCAATGCCATACAGACAGCATCATTATGAACTGTTCATGGAGTGGGATCTGTGAGATATGCTCTACAACAACAGCATGGCATTAGTATGAGGCTACTGCCTTGTGATTTTAGGCATGATTTTAGTGCCATATGATTTTAGGCAGTGTACCTAGAAGCATACTTGTAGCCTGGCTCTAGTTTTCTGGCAATGCCAAGGACTGCTGACCCCCTATTCTGCTTAAATCAGCAAAATCATGTCCTGCTATGTGTAGCAGAGAACCTTATGGCTGTGGGGGATTAGTTCATGGTAACCCACCCGGGAAGTGGCTGAAACTGTAATGAGGTCTCATTACTATTGCTATTTCCATACAAATGTTTCTTTTCTATTCTTTCTTTCTTTCTTTCTTTCTTTTTTTGGTACCAGGAATCAATCTCAGGACCTTGTGCTTGCCAGGCAGGCACTTGTGCCACTGAGCTATATCCCCAGCCCCACAAATATTTCTAGGTAAGACTATGTCACCAAAGGATTATGTCACCAAAGTGCTGTGGAGTCAGAGAAAGTAGAGTTGCCTTCAATTACAAGTACCCCAGAGACTTTGGGACTCTGTGAATGTTAATAAAGAGGCATTTACAAAGAGACTGGGAGAATACATAGGATTTTTTTAAGTAAAGTTTTTTTATATCAAAGTTTAACACGACCACACACAGAGCTTGAAAATATTGATAGCTTAAAACTTTTTCTCAAACTGATCACACCCATGTAACCAGCATAAAGATAAAGAAATAAAACATTTCTCTACCTCAGAGGCCTCCCTCTTCCTCCTCCTGCCCTGTCTGCCCCCAAAGGGTAACCACCATCCTGACTTCTACCAACGTACATCACCCTGAGTTCTTCTGTTCTATTGATCTATAGTACTATTCCCATGTCATTATCACATTTTCTTTGTGTGTGTGTGTGTATGTGTGTGTGTGTGTGTTTTTGAGACAGGATCTCGCTATGCAGTTCAGGCTGGGCTTGAGCTCACTTTGCAACCCAGGCTGGCCTTAAACTCAGAATGATCTTCCTGCCACAGACCCCAACCCCCAGGGCTGGGATTGCAGGCATGTGTCACCATGCCCAGCAGTTACTTCTTTTATAATTTGGATACCCTGTTTTCTTTTCTTTGTTTAATTTGTCTGCCTATAACTTCCAGTACTGTGTTGAACAGAAGTGCTGAGAACAATCATCTTTGTCTTTTTCTTGATTTCAGGAGAAAGCAACAGTCTTTCACTATTAAGTGTAATATTATCTCTGAGTTTTCCACAAGCAGCCTTTATTCAGTTTCTTTGTTTGTTTGTTTTTTGTCTTTTTGAGACAAGGTCTCACCATGCAGTTCAGGATGGTCAGTTTCTAATGAGCTCACTTTCTAGCCCAGGCTGGTCTCGAACTTGCAATGATCCTCCTGCATTAGCCTCCTGAGTGCTGGAATTACAGGGGTGCACCACCACGCCTGGCAAGTGGCCTTTATTCAGTTGAAGTTTGATTCTATTCCTAGTTAAATGTTTTTGTTTTTATTTTTATCAGGAAAGGGCATTGGATTTTGTGGGATGCTTTTTCTGCATTTGTGAAGAAGATAATCACATGGCTTTTGCTTTGATTCTTCTAATATGATATATTGCACTGGTTGATTTTCATATGTTAAACCACTTTTGCATTTCAGGGATAAATCCCACTTAGTTCTGGAGTAAGTTTTTTTTGGTTTTTTGGTTTGTTTGTTTGTTTGTTTGCTTGTTTGTTTTTGAGACAGGGTATCACTGTGTAGTTCAAGCTGTCCTCAAATTTGTCTCAATCTTCCTGCCTCAGCCTCCTGAGTGGTGGAATTACAGACATATGTCACCACACCTGGCTTTGTAAATTTTCTTTTATATATTGTTGGCCTCTGTTAGCAGTATTCTGCTGAGGGTTTTAACATCTATGTTTGTAAGATTTAATGGTCTGAGCCAGACGTGGTGGCGCACGCCTGTAATCCCAGCACTTGGGAGGCTGAGGCAGGAGGATCGTTGCAAGTTCAAGGCCAGCCTGGGCTACAAAGTGAGCTCAAGGTCAGCCTGAACTGCATAGCGAGACCCTGTCTCAAAAAAAAAAAAAAAAAGACAAAAAATGAGGAAGGTAAGGCCATGAGATGAAGTCACAATGGCCAGACTTGCATACTTCCCTAAGGGATGAATGGAAACTTGATATTGTGCTGTCATTGGTCCCACCCTGTCCATCAATTCCAGATATTCACCAGACACCCGGATGGACGACCAGAGCACCCGGACTCATCCCTTCCTCAAAATGGTCCTGTTTCAGAAGTCATAGATAAGCCCGGATTAATGATGTCAGCTATGCACCCTGGCTACCTGCTTCACTTCCTTGTGGGATCAATACTGGCTCAGTATACCTGTACTCTT